TTATTTTCAAAAATTAGTTGATGAATTAAAAATTTTATTCATATAAAAATTTGATATCAATTTAGGAAATTTAATCAATTTATTCATTATACAAAATTTAATACCATTAAAATAAAGAAATGTTAGTAAATATGTTTTGGGAATAATGCTTATCCACCTTACTTCTTAAAAATTAAGATAAATATTATTTCAAAATTATATCATTTTAATAAACACTTATTAAAAAAGATTAAAATATCTTATTTTTAAAGCATGAATATGTTGTTTTTTATCATTTTTCCTCCTAATTTTTTGAAAATAAGGCAGACAAACACTAATCCCATATTTTTTTTATTAAATAGTTATAAATATTAGATTAATATAAAAATTAATATGAATGATTTACATAAATAAAATTTTGGTTAAACCCTAATTTTGGTCCTTCAATTATTGTATGGATCATAGATTTGGTTCTTAAACTAAAAAAATCCCTAATTTAGTTCTTATTATTTACCAATTTGGTCACAAGTTGATCATTTCGTACAAAAATAGATGACATGTCTTATTATTAATGTGACACATGGTAGTTAAATAATGGTTTTTTGTTATTAAATAATAGATATGTCAACAATTTTTTAACAAAATGACCAATTTGAGGTCAAATTGATAAACAACAAAGATTAAATAAAGAATTTTTTTAGTTTAGGGATTAAATTTAAAGTCTATACAATAGTTGATGGATTAAATTCGGGGTTTAATCTAAATTTTTTAATCTAATAATTTTTATAAAATATTAATTTAAAAATTTTTTTTACATAAATTCTAAAAAAATTGTTGAGATAATGACCTATGCACTAACCTAATCACTAATTTTAATGGTTTAAAGAAGAAAAAAAAGAAAAAAAAAAAGAGGAAATGGACAATTTTTTTTTTTTTTTTTGGGAGGAAAAGGAAATTAGAGGAAATGGACATTTTCTTTATCCTTTCCCCGCACAACGAGAGAAAGCACTTGCATTTTCCCTGTTTTCAAGATGCTCCATGAAGGCGTGGACCATAGTTAGATTTGGTCGCAATTTCCCTGACGACGAGAGGTGCCCAATTAAAACCACTCAATTGGTCAAAAAAGTGGAAAAAGATAGAGAAGCAAGAAAAGACTAAGACAATCCCTTCTTCATGAGGCTGTTGACGATAGATTTTCTTTTTCTTTTTTTTTTTTGAATTTCCATGGTCCAATCTCAAGTCAATCTGGAAAAAGCAATATTTTTGGCTTCCAATCCAAGCAGCTCAATTCCATTGGTTTCTCTCTTTTCGTATATTCCTTCCCCTTTGATTTCATTCGCTAAAGAATATGTTTATTTTTTTTCTTTGAACAAGTTGTCAATGGCAACCTTCTAGAGATAGAGAATACACCACAAATTAGTAGGTTATGAATTAATTTGAAGGGTCAGGTATGCTAAAGAATATATTTATTAAAGAATGTTTTTATAGATAATAGTATAAATATAATTTTTTATATTATTTTTTGGTATAATTTTTATATATTATTAAGTAAATAAATATATCTAATATTATAAATTTTAAATAAATAAATAAAATTAATTATTTAAATAATATATAAAATTATATTAAAATAATCATATTAATTTTTTTGATTTTTTTTTTTATTTTTATTATCACAGACACTACTGCGTAATGAAGAGGCTAAACTTTACGATATAATTGAGGTCGTGAATTAAAAAAAAAAAGGGGTTGTGAATTTGATTCTTACATTGTATGGGTTTAATGAAAAAAGCATTTATAAATTTTAGACAAAATTATAAATAAAAAAACATATTTTACAATTCAAATTATAAAATATTAATTATTAAATTAAAAAATATATTTGATATTAAGAGGTGTCATTTCATTCAGGAAAAAAAATGTAGATAATAATAGAAAATTTGTTATTTTTAAGGATAATTATACATATACCCAAACAATCAACATCCATCTCAACACTCAATGCTTATGAACAGTAAAATTACAAATTTACCCCTCCTCATTTTAGCCTTGGGTGTTGAGATGGGTATTGATTGTTTGGGTGTATGTATAATTATCCTATTTTTAATTAAAAAATATAAAATTTTCAAATTTCTAAATGCAATTAATGCTTATTCGTTTTACCTCTTAAAAATTATGAAAAAAATCACTTGAAAACTACGTAGTTTTAATAAAATATTACAGAGAAAGATAAAAAACATTTTAATTCATATTTTAAAAATATGATATTTTAATCTTTTTCAATAGAAATTTATTGAAACGATATAGTTTTGAGATGATTTTTTTCATAATCTTTAAAAAAATAAAGGCAGATATTTA